CGCGCTAGCCGTTGCGATTTCGGAGCCAGGGGGAGTGGGGGGGATTGTTTGCAGCGCTGAACCCAGCCAAATGATTCGTAGTTGTACTACTTGCATTCCCTGGCATTCTCAGTATGTGCTACCTTTTAGTGGGCACGAACGGGGGGATAGGTTTGGAAGGGGTTGGTGGGTCTGTAGCTCTCCTCTACCCTTGCCGAGGCGCTCCCGCGTTGCGGTTAAATTATCTTCGCGTCCGGCCTCAACGTGATGCCATCGTTTGATACGAACTTTGCTACATGAGCGCGGCCCAGCATTCAACACCAGGCTGTTGCCCACACTATAGTAAGCTGCCCTCCAGGCACTTTCTGTCAGGCATCCCGTGCAGCCAAGTCAAATCCAAAACGAGCCTCATGTCACTCATGTCTAACAGCTCTCGAACAGATTCTTCACAGCAACCACGTGATGCTGATGATCAGCTGATGATGTGGCTCCGGCCAGCATCATTAGCATCATGAGGATACCGTGATATGCCTGCTGGCACACAGGAAGGTTATTGCACATCGGGTCCATGATGCTGCTGATGCTGGCTGAGGGCGACCGCCACATCTCGGTCCATGGTGGGCTTTGATCTCGCAAAGCGTGTCCCATAATACGTTTGACTTTGCTTGCGTTTCAGGTGACGACTTTTTGCAGATCTGCTCTGGCCAGTCCCCAGTCCACAACCGCCACCCCCTCTCCCATGCCCAGTTTAAAGTCTGACGCCCCATCAACGCTGAAGCCCCCCTCCGGGTGCTGTCCGTCATCCCAGTAACCAGTACTTCAGGATTTCACCTGACAGCCGTGTGCCCGGTGCGCCTCGAGAAGCGACAGCACCACCTCCCAGCGCTGCGCTGCTGCCACGGAGCTCAGAGCAGCTGCCGCCACGATTGGCAGTGGCTTCTGCAATTTGTCAGTTGATGAGCTCACATACTGGTTTACAAAGAGAATTCATAATTCCTTCACTTCCAGCTTGCATAATTCTGAATTCTGAAGTATGGCTCACAGCTTGCGATTGCAATCTGGCTCCACACTCAATCAAAAAAAATGATTCTGCCCTGCGCTCCAAAGGCTGCCTAGAGGCCTCAATTCGGCGCAGCAAGGATATGGACACCTGCTGGCCAGAACAATGTCAGTCTCAGAAGATATGGATTGCGCGTCTCGATCAAAGTGGCCAGCTCATCAGCAAGACTTGGATTTCAGCTTTAGCTTGAATATGAGGCTGAGAGGTGGAAGGTCCGAGGTGCAACTCAAGGCCCCAGCTGCCAACACCAAAAAAGAACAAATTGACATTCGGCAATCCTGCACTCACTGGTTCTGGACCTCCCAGCATTGCGCAACCGCGAGCGCGCCAAAGGCCGACACGTGCGCAGCAGCGTCTGCTGCCCCGTGTAAGTCCAACTCCTCATGCAACTTACATTTTCATCTGTGAAAGTCAAACATAAGTCAACACACAACATCCGCACAGAGAATCTTTGAGACTTACCACACATATATGTGCAGCGCACGCTCTACCTACGAGGATACAGATCCCGAGTGCCTTGGCCATCGGAACTTTACCACCGCCAAGTCATCAGTCTACAGGATGCTACAGGCTTTAGCTGCGCGTTTCCAGGCCACAACCGTGGTCAACCGGCAATGAGAAGTGATCCAAAGCAAAGATGGTCGAACAGCAAGGTCCAGGCTTAACTATCCCCCTTCCAAACTTTTCACCAGGGCACAGCGAGGAGAGACAAAGCCTGCCAGGCTGCCAAGCACACACTCAACACTAGGCCCTCATCGAGATTCAGGGGCCCTGCTAGCAAGGGTAGAAGACATGACTACCTGCGACAGATTGCTGAGTGTCTAATCGGATACGGACACGTTCCCGACATGCTGGCTACTAGGACTGTGGTTGTGCCCTTGGTCGCTACCTGTTGCCAATGGGAGCCGCTTGCCCAAGCACCCATGGCAACGCTGAACGCAGCTGCATCCTTGCAAAGCTGGTGCAAGGTGTGCAGGGGTTGTGACACATGAGGCAAAACAACCTTGGAACCCTCCGAGCCCATATCATTCTGGTGTGGCAAGGCACAACTTGATGTCCAGCTCCGCTTCGAAGATCATCCCACAAGATCAAGGCTAGCCTGCTGCAAACTTGCGAAAGGGCATGCAAAGTCCTTGCAACGAGATGACAAAAGTTAAGCTTGTTTGAGAAAACACCCTCATCAAAAGTCAAAAGGAGAAGGGCGAAAGAAAAAAATGTATGCCAAGCCACAGCCACTGACTTGCTGCGCTTAGGGCATCCATTGCACCGCTGCAAATCACACGATTCGCTCGGATGTCCTTAGCTCACAACATGCAGCCGCCAGAGTACTGAATCACTGAAAGCGACCGTACCAAAAAAAATGGAAGAATGAGGCTTAAAGACTGCTGCGGGACGCTCGCCGTCATCTCCGCCAGGAAACTGAGAATTCTCCTAACAGTATATGTCTCTTGGTTGCTACCTGCATGTTGTGTGTTTCTAGTGAAGACACGCACATTGCAATGGAAACCTGCGGACTCATCGATTGCCCAGGCTCTCCCATGACTGGCCCTGCCCACATGCGGTGATTGCCGCTCCAAAAGAAACCTTGCGTTTGAAAATGCAGAACATCTTCTTCCTTCCTCACAGCAATTTTGGTAGTCAAGTCAACCGCATGCCCTACTACATTTGCTGCGCAGTCAGCTGCTTCCACACACATCAAAGTGTTCTTGTCTCCAGGCCAGGGAGCAACCGTTGGCATGATATGACAGTCCTGCAGAGCTGCATGCCATTGCTACCCTGCGAGCAGCCACGTTGGCAAGTACTTGGCAAGCATACGTTTTGGCCAGCAGGAGCTAGCATAACAGTGCTGGAAAACCTTATGGTAAGCACACTTGCTCTCAATCCACCGGCAAGACTTAGAAGCCTTCCGCCAATTTGAGGTAAAACAAGGAGTTACTCTCAGAAGTATCTCCTTCATCTCCGCAAACAGCTCCAAGGAGCCGGGCCAGTGACTGCCTTGGAAGCTGGCTGCAAAAAGAATGATGCCAAAAAGCATGATGCCTTTATGCTCGAAGATGTTGCGATTAACCAGCTACGCAAGTTGCTCGACCCCGTCTTAAAACAGTCCATGGATCCAAGGAACCTCTCTCACAAGCAGTCATCGCTGTGTTGTACGTGACAACGTTTGGCTGCACGCCCTGCAATATCAGTCAATGGGCACAGCCAGGCAAACTGTAAACCTACCATGCCAACTAGGCAGGGCAAGCTTCATGCATATGAGCATTCGCAAAATGAACTCTGACTTATCTAGTGCAGAATGAGTGTACCCGGCATCTCGGATCAGGAGACATGCAAGAGCTATTGCATCTTGTTTCAAAACGAAAAAGGCAGAACATCTGCGCCTCTGTCTTCATCTGCTGCAATAGACTCAAAGCTCGTTCCCACTGGTCCCCTCTTTCGCAAGCCGAAATGACCTAAAGCAGACGCTGGACCTCCTTGAATGATTGACTGGTCCAAGGACAAATGCAATGCCAAGATATGCCAAGGTGCAGAGCTGTAGGTCACCACTTCTGCACCTCAGCAATGCAGCAATGCATGGCTGCTAGAAAGCTCCTTTAAAAGGATCACTGCCATGCGGCTTTCATTGATGAACGTCAAGGACGCCTCCCTCAGCTGAGTTGGCAGAGCCAGCGTGTCAACTGCTTGCCCCCTTCATCCCAGCTGCCAGGCGCCCGCGGCTGCAGCAGCTGAAGCAGCGGCGGCAAGGAGCCAAGCATCTGCGACAAGACGGTTGCGCCTGCTCTCAAGAAATCCATCACAACAAGCCTTGCCAACAGTACCGCCAAAGCTGGGATAAAGGCACAACTAAATCCTGGACTGACAGACTGCCCCTGCTAAAGGCTGAATTGAAACCAAGCAGCTGCAGATCCTCCAGGATCCAAAGCGCCAGTGCCCACCTGATCTACTCGTCAGGCTTTGCAAGCGTGTGCTCGAGATGCAGGAAATGCATGACTGCAATGTAAACATACTGAGGAGACAAAAGAGGGGGAGTATGCCGCCTCTTCACTGCCATACCTAGACCTTGAGGACAGCAGCTCTTCTCACGTTCACCTCCCCAAGCCTCTCGGTCTTGCCGCAGGCGCTTACTGCAGCCGTGGCGGTGACTGCATCGGGCTGCAGTTCGGCTCGGCCCATACAATCCTCAGAAAACAAAATCCAGGATCTGTTGCTCCAATGCTGCAGCTGGTGCGCAACACAAATCTTCGCCAAGGGATCCAGCAGCTCCAAGATTTCCTCCCAGCGCCCGCTCCGGGCAAAAGCCTGTGCGCAAGCCTCGGATCCAGCCATGCGAAGCTGGCTTGGGATGCTTGGGGCATCTGTGAATTGACCTCTGGCAAAAGAAGCTGAAGGTTAAATTATTCTGGCTTGGACCTGTCACGCAGCATTGCAGGCACGAAGGTCGGGCAGCTGCTGGTCCCACTCCACGAGGAAAAGGGCAGCAGCCTGCAGTGCCAGGTTTTGGGATTTAGGCGTTTGGCCTGCAGCTCATCCTCCCTCGGCAGCTGTGCTCAGGTTACAGGCTTGAAGGTTAATCACCACACATTATAGAAACGCGACATGCTTGGTACCGTCTCCCCGCAAATTAGGCAACCTTTCATAGCATGTAATCTGGGAATGTTCGGCGAATCTGTTCTGTCCCGTGTGTCTTCATCCACGAACCTGCTGCCACTTTCTCTGACGTCCCAAATCTCGTACCAGCTGGGTCTTCTTCCTTCCAAGCATTTGCGGTCTCGTACTTCGTTACCTTAGAAGTCACAACGGCTTTATGACCTCACAAAAGCCCTCCTCCAATACGCGTCCGCTGTCTGCTGGACCATCGCCACACCATTGCTCAAGTCAGGTGAGGCCCCCAATTTGGGGACCTGATCCACACCACGGGAGCCACTACAGCTTACCATTGCTTTCACTCGCAAGGGATTTAGGCTTACTCTTTTGGAGTGTCTTCACTTTGACAGTGGGGTTCCGGGAGCAGGAAGAAACCTGCAAAAGCATCTGATGCACACACGTCAGCATGATTTCATTGGCAACAGCACATGAAAAAAGCTGCGGGGTCACATGACATAAGTTCGCTTTAAAGATGTGAGCGGACGATTTGAGGCGACAAGTTTCAGAGCTTCAGGTTTTGCTCCGCTCGCGTTGGCTCGGCTCCACGGCTGGAAGCAGTGCCCAGGGCTGCTCTCCAGGAATGTTCTGAGAGTAGCTGGCGGCTGCCCTGCCCAAGGTTGCAAACAAGACAATGTAACATTGTGCCATACTAGCTTATGCAAAGTAAGTACAAGCTTGTGAAGTTACATCAACAGAAACCACAAGAGCTGTGATGGACCTCTTCCTGCCAAACTCCCAGGTGTCCTTGCCATTCGAGCTCTCGCCACGTGCCACATAGCGAAGGTTCAGTTCGTCTGAAGCTGCCGGCCCTGGACCCAGTGGAACAGACCAGCGCACTTGGAAAGGCTCATTGTAGCCACGGCGGCTGATGAGGTACACAGAGGTTACCTGATGACACTGAACAGCAGCTGCCCAGCTCGACTAACGATTTCAGCAGTCAAAACCCAGCCCACCATGCAGCCAAAGGTAGTCTGCACCTGAATCTGGCCAAAGCTACTGGGAAGCAGACTGGCGACCAGCTCTTCTCCAGGCTTGCTGTCGCCGCTGCTGCCTGCAGGATGCTTGGTCTGGTTGTCTCCAGGAGTGGAGCGACCAATTCAGCGGGATCTTTTCCACTACATCAAACGGAAGAGACCTCATACACACTGCTCCCCTAGAGCTACTGGGGATCGCCTCCTGGGCACCGCGCCAGCTGCCGACAGAGAGATGGGGAGCAAAACGGTTGATTCCACGTGACCTAGATGGGAAGATCTCAGAGATGACTGAGACAGCACAGTGACATAGCGCAGCTTTTTCACACCCAGCGGCGGGTCGTCTGACAAGTCATCGCAGAACGGAAACGACTTCAGCAGCCTGGCAATGCTAGATGTTACTGTAGCAGCTTGTTCAGGATGTTGGGTCATCCGCCAAAACAACAAAACCGAGAGAGCAGTCATATCGTGCAAGCTCCGACAAGCCTCGCATGAAGCTCATGCACATCCAAGCAGTCTTGGTCCGTCTCACCCTACGAGGCGAGACAGCTTGGTAACTGACAATTGCTAGCGGCAGGAAGGAAGACTAGGTGACTGGATGCCAAGACTGAGACACCTTGTCTGCCGCCATCGACTGCATGCCATGGCCAGGCCTAAGCCACACCTAAGGTGTCACATGTAGTGACAGAGTAGACTTGCTGAAACGATTTCATACCCACTCTTGACGTAGCATCGTGAAATGTCCCTTACCATTCGGTCAGATCACAGTGCAGCTTCTTCGACTGTGCTGGAAGAAGTGGAAATGTTGCCTTGGCATCAGAGGCTTAAGGCCTTGCTATACTGTACATGTTGTGTCCTTTTTATATAGTAGTTCATATCGTGATTTATGCGCAAAGCGTCAGCTCCAAGGTGAACGGCTCCACCTCTTTCAGGACCTCACGTGCCTTGCTGGCGGCATCGGCAAAGCAGTCACCAGTGTCCTCGCAAGGGCGCCATCGGCCGGAGACTTCTAGGGCATATTTGGCATCTGATTGATATGCCAAGCATGTTGCAAATCGTCCTCTACGAAAGGGTAGAGCACATTGATATGAGGCATCCTTCAAATCTTTGTGACTCTTCGATGACATTCAGCATTTTCTTTCCCTAGCTAGACTCACGATCCTGAATGCTACCAAGAGTCCATCGAAAAAAGCCTTTATCCCGGCTACGCCGGATCTCTTGAATCGGCTCCCACACATGCGCAGGAGGCATAATAACCTGCTGCAGCCGCATCAGCATCAGTTGTCAAGTGATAGTGGCGTGGAGCAATGTATCCTCATCTGTGCCATCTGGGGCCCTCCAAGCTTCATTCCCCAGTCGCACGAAGACAATGCTATCTAATGAATCGGATCCAGTCACAAGCGCACTCTTGACCGATTTGACGCAAGCCAAGTTCGACGACAGGCCACTGAGCAGTGCCTTAGCCGTCTCAACACAAGGATAAGCTGCAAACCCTGCAGACAACTGGACGAAGGCCTTCCGAAAGGGCTATGGGCTCTATATAAATATATATATATATATGGTACCCCGCGTGGAGCTGGTTTTCCTTTGTAAATTACTTTCCAAAGCCTAGTTTTGAATGAAAGGAAAATCTTGGAATCCTAAGTCGAAAAGCATGTGTTCCCTTCAAGAAACGCGAAAAGGTAGGTCAAGTGGTAACCCCCCCCATTGGCCTACCTTTTTCCTCAACAGAGGTGAACAGGTGGGTCGGGGCGAGGTGTAGCAAAATGGACCTCAGACCCAACATGCTGAAAGGCCTTCATCAATCTTTAAGTCTTGAACCTCACAAAAATTGAGGCTTCATGAGGTTTGAAGCTCCGAGTCTCAAAATGCTGAAAGGCCTCAATCCTGTTGTGATTTTGATGCAAAAACACTGGGAAGCCCCAAACGACTCAAACGACTCAATCTTTTGGAGGTTTTGGGTGGGCAGCCCCAAAATCAAAAAGATTGAGGCCTCTCAGCACTTTCGGAGTCTGGGAGGTTTAATACACTGAGAAGTGAGAAGCCTCAATCTTTTGGGTTCTGAACCCCGAAAACATTGAAGCCTCGCGAGGTTTTGGAGTTCCCACAATCCCAAAATGCTGAGAGGCCTCAATCTTTTTGGGCTTCAGGATTCAAAAGGATTGAAGCCCTTCGAGGTTTTGGGACTCCTAGATTCGGAAAAATTCTGAGAGGCCTCAATGTTGTTGATTTTGGGGCCAGTCTCCCAAGACCTCTTAAGGATTCTCAACATTAACCTGTCTGCATGAAAGACTCCCTGTTTTCCGGCGGGGCTGGCAGGTATTCAAGTTGGGTGCCAGGACATATGTGCCATGACTGCCCACAAGGCAAAACTCATCACGGGTTAAAAGCCCTAACCAGGCCGTGGCCTCATCTCTCCCGTAGGAGTAGGAGGCGCCTCCCACCGGCTTTGAGCAAGGGTGGTGGCTGGGGAAAGCGGAGGAAGCCAAAATGCTAAAGCATAGACAGGGTTGAGAAAAGTGCATGACTGGCGTTCCGCACGAGTGCTGCACTGGTCAAAAGTGTATTCTCAACATTAACCTGTCTGCATGAAAGACTCCCTGTTTTCCGGAGAGGCTGGCAGGTATTCAAGTTGGGTGCCAGGACATATGTGCCCTGACTGCCCAAAAGGCAAAACCCATCACGGGTTAAAAGCCCTAACCAGGCCGTGGCCTCATCTCTCCCGTAGGAGGCGCCTCCCACCGGCTTTGAGCAACCTGTCCACCCAGCACCCAACGTCCATTCCCAACTTGTCCATTGCAAGTCAACCTCGCGAAGCGACTCGCCAAGAAGAAGCCAGACGGCGCTGAAGGGTGGAGACGTGGGCGGGCAGTTGAAGTTGGACAAGCGTAGCTCGGGCATCATCCACATACATACGCGCAGTAAATTGGTCTTTCCAGCGTCCCTGGACCAGCCATAGTCCGACCCAGCGATTGAGTTTGCTGGTAGAAGTGGGTTGCCCCACCGCGGCGCAAACAGTATGGAAGATAGTCCACAGGGTCCAACCCAATAGACCGCACCAGTGCCGCAAAAGAAGTACGGAAAGATGCCATTGCGCCAGTGAAGATTTTGCCTTGAGGATGCGGCCGAGGCCAAAGTTGCGCTGTACATCGACTAGCTGTGGCTCATGCAAAGAGGAAGGGATTGTTGCAGTCCTCTGGACGTCTTTGAATTGATGATTGCAACCACCACAGTACCATCTTGAGGAAAGAGCCGAACGTGATGGTAATGGAGTGAAACAAGTTCCATTGCGCGCAAAAAGAAGGCAAAGCCTAGCAGCACCATGATCGCAAGATCCCGGCGATGAACATGAAAAGCTGCCGCTGCCATAGCTTTGGCCCCCAACCATGACATCGGAGCGGTGCGCCTCGGGAGGTGTACCCTTTGCCAGTTCCTGTAGAAAAGCTGGGCAGTTGTAAGATGAAGCCGACACCTCGGGAAAAAGCGTCGAAGTCTGCTAATGGTCCAACCGCCCAGGGAGACGTGATCTCCTTCTTGAAACAAGTGATCAATGCACTCGGCCAACTCTTCATCCAGCTCCACCAGATTTGGAGGAAGCCTGCCCCGTAGGGCGCGTGCATAAGCAAAGAAAGGCGCCACTGATTTCTCGTAACATCGCCTTGTTTTTGCCGTTATCGCCAGAAAATTTCAGGTGGTCACTTCTGTTCGTATTTTCGCGACGCACCATCGGAGAAATTCCACTTGGAGATGGTCCACAAAGAAATGGGGAGCACGGCAGCGGCAATGTTGATGGCGGTAACTCGGCGGCAAAGTCGGTTCAGGCAGCCCGACGAGGACCTGCCTTTCGAAAGAACGTAGAAGGCGACAAGGGAGTCGAGGATGTTGAAGCCATGCTCGGAAGGATCTCTGGTTCTCCTTCGCAGCTCGGCGAGAAAGGCGGCCACCTCGAGGATGTTGATGCGCTGCTCTTGCTTCCAACGATAGCTCAGCACATCCCTCCAGAGCCAGCGGAATGCTGGGTATGGACAGGGCCGGCTGGCCTCAAGCTCTCCACCGTGGTGGGTCAAACGAACACTTGTCCCATTTTTGTTCCTGGCCCTGATCCATGGAGTCCAGAAGCTCTACCACTTGCTTGACCGCCAACCTTGCGGCCCCCTTGTGCTGGAGACCGCGGGTCGCTCCTTTCAGTTCGTGGTCCAAGGTAAGGGCACGAACACCACAGGGCTCGGGGAACCTCCGCGAGAACTCGTCGGCAACAGCTTCAGCGAATACCACACACATATCCCACGGATACTCGGCTTCGCTCTCGGTATCGAATGTGCACCAGGGAGGTCCACTTGCGCCTCCTTCCGTTTGAGAAGCAGGTCCAAAACCAGCTGTCGTCGTAGAGGGCCTTGGCCTCCGGCAGGTACCACATGTGGGAGCCATACGGGTGCTCAAGCAACCCGAAACGCCCATTGGCATCAGCATCAAGGAGCCCACGAATTGAACGCTTGGCCATGGCATTGCCTTTGCCTTCACTTGGTCCCTCCCGGCTTAGGTTCGGGAGGCCTTCTGGGCGCTGACGACTTCGGACAGCTGGAGGCCCCGTGATCCACTCACCTCGAGAGTTCTGCAAGGCCGTCCTTGAGCCAAGCTGAATGTCTCGCGGTCCGCTTCTACCAGGAGGGGCCTGGGTCGAAATGCCACGGAGGGCCACAGTCTTGGTAAGAGGGAAGTTCAGTCCAGGAACCGAACTTTGGAGCCTGCAGCGTACTGCGAACGCACTCGCCTTGGTGGGTCCTCGAGGAGCACGGGTAACGGCGAGAGGGCCGTTCGACCAGCTCTTTCCCACAGTGGCCATCACTCTCGAGCGTACTCGGAAGGCCAGACACACTGAAAGGAACATGTGCGCAAAGGAGGAGCCGCCACCTGTTGGAGAGGCGTCAGTTCAACTGATGATGGGCGAGCCAAGGTCCGTTTCTGCAAAAGGCAGCAGAGAGGCAAAGCATAACACCATATCGACCACCGGGGGCGGCAGCTCCACCCTCTTGGCATCCTTGACCCACTCGAACAACGCGTACACCTCCTGCAAGATCGAGTAAAGTGGTCGGCGGAATGCCGCGGCGAAGGCTGCTTTGCCCGTCCAGTGTCTCACGCAGAATTCAGTGATCCCATCCATCGGTACAAGCCCCAGGGACAAGTCCAGGAGCTCCACCGACTTCTCATAGGAGTCGCGCAGGATGCGGCGGTCTCTGATGATCTCTCCTCCTTGGAGGGTACCTCTTAGGGATCCGCTGAGTTGCTTCCCAAGGTTTCGAGGAAGACCAAGCGACTCACAGGAATCAATGAATTTCTCATGGTTGGGGGAAGTCACGCCCTCAGATGCCTCCGCGATCTCCCGCTTGAGGTATCGGATCTCATCGAAGTTGTCCAGGTAGAGAATGGTGTGGCTGTCTTCGTCAGGGAGAGGGGCGTCCTTCCTCACGTCTCCTCGGCTTGGCACCTTCGCGACGCTGTACGCGATGTGCCTGATGGCCTGCCGACGTCCACCCCATCGAAACGACCGTGAGGGCCGGACGCAGCATCTCGCTACTGGATACTCCCAGAGCATCTTTACTTTTTGCACGAACGCAAAGAACGGATGTCAAACCTTCGGCATTCTGAACAAGTTGAACGCCGACTGGAGGTCCTCCGAATCGAGGACCAGGTTGGATCAGAGCAGGGTGAATGGGCAGAACGTCCGCCTGCGGCCGTGCCGTTGTCAAGGTCAGCTTGGCGCCCGGAGGCAGCCTCTCCGGATGACAGTGGTCACGGCAAAAAATGCCAAGGGCCGACTGCAACGACGCCGCGGCTTGCCACAAGAGTTTGCCCGTTGCTCTGACGGCGGGCGCTTGCCCAACGCATTCCTCAACTTGGTCCTCCAAGCCGACCAAGCCAACCCTTCGGAGACTTTTGCCTTGTAGGAGGCAACGGAAAAGCCCGTAGGCAGTCTCTCATCATCGCTCCGTCCGAGGTCGCCGATGGGGAAGTCCAACCCACCGTCTGTGATCACGCCATCGGTGTTGCCAAGGGGAGGACAATCTGGCTCAGATGGTATCTCGGCCTTGGCCAGCGGCGCATCGCTTTCCTCTTCCTCGCCCTTGGCCCAGAACTCGCAGGGTCGCGCCCTCGGATCCAGAAGCTCCATGTGCTGGGCCCGTCCCCAGCTCCAGGGCCTTGATCCGCTGGGCGATGGTGTCCGCGGCCGAGGTGTCGTGACCTGCTGCGATTTGGTCAAGAGCGAGAGCAAGGTGCGGATTTCTCGCATCAACGCACGGTCAACTGGTTGCCGTGAACTGGAGCGAGCACGGTGAGGACCCAGTTCGAGGCCACCGGTGGGGTTCGCGTCAATGCCTGGTGAAGTTGAAGAGACGCCCCTCCCTCCAAGCTCTGCATCCGCTGCAGACCCCAGTTTCTTCTGGGAGTACTTCAGCTGGAGCTGAAGGCTCATGCCGCCCTGGGAGGAAGGGGCTTCGCGAAAATCCGACTCATCACGCGAAGATGAGCTTGAGGAAATCTGCCACCATAGGCCGCCTTGGCTCCGACGCCAAACGGTCCACGATCTGCCTTGGGATCCTTTTTCTTCTTTTTCTTTTTCTTTTTCTGGGACGTATCCCTTCTCTTTTTCTTGGAGGGGTTAGTTGTCTCTGAGCTCTCGGACGTATCCGGGGGAGACTCCTCGTCTCGTGCTCCAAACCACGTGGAGTTGCCACTCACCTGGGGAAAAGTGCATGACTGGCGTTCCGCACAAGTGCTGCACTGGTCAAAAGTGTACGGAGTCGTTTGAGGCCTTCCAGTGTTTTCGCCTAAAAGCCCCAAAGCAATTGAGGCCTCTCGAGGTGTTGGCCTCTGGGAACTCCGGCCTTTGAAGGATGTGATATTGACAGGCCGCTCTGGCGCCAGCAGCAAGATCAGTACTGCTTAGCCAAAAGGAAAATCTTGGAATCCTGAAATTCTGGTTTTGGATGTGGTTTTCCTTTATATGGAAGCCTTTTAAACTCAAATTACAAATCAAAGGAAAACTTTGGAATCCTGGAACTTTGGGTTTTGGAACTGGTTGTTCTTTATAACTTCCTTTTGAAATTTACTGAGAAAACAGAGCAACATCCTAGAATCCTAGAATTCTGGTTTTGGATATGGTGTCTGGAAAATCGAGCTCGAAATTAAAGGGGAAATCTAATTAGCAACAAAGGGAAATCTTCGAATTCTGGACTTCTGGTTTTGGGTGTGGTGTTCCTTTGTAAGTTCCTTTTGAGATCGAATTAGGCATGCCTGCTTTTTGTTTGCAAATGCCTGTTCTTTAAAAACTTAATTAAAAATCAAAGGAAAATGTTGGAATACTGGAATTCTGGTTGAGGAGATGGTTTTCCTTCATAAACTACTTTCCAAAACCTAATTAGACATTGATTCCTGAAATTATGGTTTTGGATGAGGCTTTCCTGTAAATGAATGCCTTTTAAAATCAAACTACAAATGAAAGGAAAATCTTGGAATTTTGGAACTTTGGGTTTTGGAGCTGGTTTCCCTTTATAAACTACCTTCCAAAATTTCAATTAAAGCCACAGAAAACCCTGGAATGCTGGTTTTCCATGTGGTGTTGCTTTTATGAATGCCTTTGAAATTCCAACACGCAATTAAAATGTGTTTTCTTGGAAGCGGTATTCCTTAATGCAAATTCCTTTTTAACATCTCTTTTAAAAAAGAGAAAGTTTTGGGATCCTGGAATTCTGGTTTTGGATGTGGTGTGCCTTTATACGCTCCTTTTAAATTCGAACTAGAAATTAAGGCACTTTATAGAAATGGTATGAGGTTGTTTTTCTTTCAAGGGAAACCTTGAAATCCTAGAATTCTGGTTTTGGAGTTGGTTTTCCTTGAAATCGAACTGGGAACTCAAGGTTTGTTTGAATGCGTTTTTCTTTAAAAGTTCAACTAAAACTCAAAGGACAGGAATCCTGGAATTCTGGGTTTTGGAGCTGATTTTTCTTTGTAAATTACTTTCCAAAGCCTAATGAGAAATTGCAAGAAAATCTTGGAACCCTGAAACTCTGGTTTTGGATGTGGTTTTCCTGCATATGAATGCCGTTTAAAATCAAACTGCAAATTAAAAGAAAATCTTGGAATCCTGGAACTTTGGGTTTTGGAGCTGGTTTCATTTAATAAACTACTTTCCAAAGCCTGATTGGAAATTGAAAGAAAATTGTGGAATCCTGAAATTCTGGTTTTGGATGTGGTTTTCCTGTATATGAATGCTTTTTGAAATCAAGTTTATAATTAAAGGAAAATTTGCGAATCCTGGAACTTTGGGTCGTGGAGCTGGTTTTCCTTGATAAATTACTTTCCTAGTTGTGAATTGGTGGAAAATCTTGGAATCTTGTGTCGAAAAGCATATGTTCCCTTCAAGAAAGGCAAAAAGGTAGGTCAATGGGGGGGTCGTATATATATATATATACATGGTATTTGCATATTGGGCTGCGTAGCTCCGTCATGGCCACAAATCACTCTGGCAAATGTCATTGTTTCACTTCGAACAACTGAGGGAGAGACACCTGCCGAGAACCACCGCAACACTCGCTGACATGTCGGTGAGAAGCCGGAACGGCGCAGAAGGCGCATTATTTCAGCCAATCGGGAAACATGCTGCTGCAAAGTCGAGGCATAGAGGAAATTTCTTCTTGGACCCTTTCCAGCAGCAGAACGGCTGCAGACTTGCAACCCACAACGCTGATCTTGCCGGAATGTAAAAGTTAACGACCGAGCTCATTCTGCGAATCTCTAGGTGCAAAGGCCTGAAGACCTTTTTGAAGGCCTTTCTATGCTCAACACAGAATCGTGCTCATGTTCCTGCTCTTCTACTTCTGCCACATCATGGCGCCTACCGCACAAAATCCCAATGTCAACGTCAAGATTATGATAAAGAATCCAGCTTGAGTCGTTCTTGCTGATCATGGCAATTCGTTTTGCGACGTTTGCACGTCATGCCCCTGTGACTGTGAGACGTGTAGAGACGGCACTTGCCATTGATGCCATCATGTGCTACTTCTAACTACCTGCAGGCTACGGACTCGCAGCTTTCTGAAGCTCTTCACCCGTGTGCAGCGAGCTTGCGTAGCTGATATATTCCTGAGAGAAAACAAACATGCGTTCTGCGCATGTTGCCAGACATATGGCTTTTCAGGCAGTGAGCAATATGGAATCCGTTCTGAGGCACAACTGTAAGTTGACTAAGCTCGCAGGTGCTTGCATCACAGGAGTCTGCAGTTGCAGCAACCATCACAAATGACCTCGTGTAAAGCAAACCTGTCATCACTATGAAACCTGCCCATACTGGCAGCGACTCCTGCAGCGAAATCGTCCCAGAGAGGTCCTGGCTGCACAAAACTGCGCAAGGACTCTCCAAAATCAAGTGGCTGCTACAGAGTGCGCAGTACTCAACCGAATGGCAACTTGCAACTGGTAACGCTCAGGCGTGAATTGACCACGCCGCAATTGATGTGAGGACAGTTGTCATATAGCCTCTGTAAGGAGACGAATCCAAATACTTCTAGGAGTATTGGAAGCATAATCTCTGCAACCTTCCAGGCATTTCAGGTAGTGCTGGACTACGTAGAGTTGGTCAGGTCGAATATTCGCCCAGTCCTGGTCGACGTCGATGAAGAACCTCATGCTAGCAAGAAGGGATGAGGGGTCTGACATCTGTGACCCTTGCAACTAGGAATTGCCAGCATCTCGAATGCAAGGGTCCCCGGCTGATGAAGTTCCTTGGAGTCGAGCTCTCCCTTAAACCTGACCGACTTGATGCATCATGAAGACGACGCTTCTCTTGCTGAAGCAACAAGGTAGCCTGGTATGTACCAGCAGGGCAAGGCTACCATCTCAGTTGGTGTCGGCTACATGCAGGAGAGGTGCTGTGTGCGGACTTCCTGTGCATCGATCTGCTGATCCTCCAGTTTTACAGACAACTTCTGTTCAACAGCCGTCTTGCAAAGGATGTGCCAGGTAAGCAAGCTGCGACTTGCGTTGTCCTTATTGAGGTCAAAGTCCAGGAAGTCCTGCGTGATGAGACGAAACCGTTTTTGGCATTCACGGCTCTGATTACGATCATCAGATCATCCATATGCATGTAGTCATTGAAGTCAGTGAAGTTTGCAGTGTACAGTTCAACAAGAAAACGTGGCCAAAATGCAATTTGGTATTTGGTCCCAAGCCTGCTGAAACTCTTCTGTTTCTTGCGCGGTGGGCTTCTTCGGCTCTGCCTGCTTGCGGATCTGCAAAACTTCAACTGTTCCAAGCTTCCGTTGAAACAACTTAGCGCACATGGGCCCCAACCCCATGTGTGGTCTGCTATGGGATATGGTGCAGACTGGTGATAAAGCTCGACATTATGACTTTCAACACTGCTCTTAACAATAGTCAAACAAGCAGCACCCGTGCATGGCTGATTTGCCGCTGAGGCAGCAGCCGCCCGCACGGCGACACAGAGGGCCGCCACAAACACCGGTCGGTACATTGCTGAGCAACCGCTTGCATCAAAGCTTAAGAATACTAGAAACAAGCAGCATTCAAAAGCTTTTCAACAAAAATGGGACGAGCTGATCAATGCATGGGCTGTGCATTACAAAGTGTTTGAAGAAGTGCTGAAAACAGCTCTGATTCTAGGTGGCGGAAATGCTATGAAGGCTGCATGCGATCAAATTCGGCGATGGGTGTGTCAAGTTGATTCATCCGCCCCTCACCGACCCTTTTTGACCCCCAACAGTCCCAGCGGCAGTCCCATGACCCAAACGGTGGCCAATGACATGAAGGGACCATGTGTTGACATAGCTTTGCAAACTTTGGAAGAAGCACCTCAGCCTCCCTGGCTCCAAATAAGCTTGGACGGCACATACTTGCCGGGGCCTGCGCATTGCTTGTTCACAAAACGACCTTGTCAGCCCTCTTAGACGTCAGTTGTTTACATTTAGGTCCTTGCCTCTTGCTTGCCAATATGCCTTACTTTCGGTAGGTAATGCAACTTGAAGACACAATAAGGTTTCCAACTGACAGCATCTACCGTCTTTGACCTCCATAAGAACCGTTTTTGGTACCATGCACATTGTGACTAACCCTTTCACCTGTCCGTCTTGAGCGTCATCCCTAGCAAGTATTTTGCAATGTCAGATGTGAATACACACCTTCCATACATGCCATAAACAGCTGATGCCACAAGCACTTTGCATGTCAGCTAAGTCTGCAATCTTCAACTGATGACACTGTTTACCCGGGTCCTTGGGAACCGCTGACAAAACGTCCAGATCCTTGGCCAAATTGCCCTTTCTCTTTAGCCTTTTCCTTTGCCATGCCCATTTGCTTTGCGCTTCCTTTCGAATCATATTGGCAATTTCAGTTGTCGTTGTCTTTTTGTTCGTTTTACTGTTTCCGCTTCCTTCCTGGTTTCCTTTTCTGTCCATTTCCTTTTCAGTTTGCTTTTTCATCTTTACTCTTCTTAGACCATCCTTTCAGCAGTCCGATATCCAGCTAGCGTCGCTCTGCGTGGAAAACAAATGTCTGTTCTTGGATGCGCTTGCAGTGCGCCAGTGTGCCAAACAAATCTTTACAGAAAATTCTGCGATGTATTCAAACACAGATGCTGCTGCAACGCACCAGTTGTCTTACGAACGAACAGCGTCATCAGCAAATCATCTGGGTCAGTGTGTCGGCGGCTTTCAAGCACTCAGACATGCAACAAATCCATTCCCAAAGGGATCAAGCTTCAGTCTGAAAGCAAAAGACTCCATCAGCAAATCCCTGATGGACGGTTGCTCTTGCAGTCTCCATTAGTTTCCTGTGCAAAGAGGGATCCAGCTTCAAGTCCCTGGAAGGATCAGTGGACTGATCCAGAATAGAATCTCTCTGACACGCATCCATCAACAGTTTCTTCTCCAACTTCAACTAATTTGTACTACATACTTGTCTCACTGCCAGCGTCAATCCTCATATCTTTTTTTAATTCTCCACTGAGCACCGGGGAAACCACAGATAGATCTCAGCACCTCAACCTTTAAGTTCAGCAGTGAAAAATATCTTGAAGGCACCGTGTTGACTGGACCCGTTTCCAGTGTCCGTTGCTCCGTCAGGATGACACGTGCCAAGAAACAGATTCAGCCCTTCCACCGTCAGGATGCTGATTACGTCACTTCACAACCACAGCTCACACACAGCACTCAGTGAGCCCACACTTTTGCAGGACTTGAACCTTGAGGCAACGGTTCAGTTGGCATGTCTCATGATGCCAGCGGATTTCTGCGACGCGCAAGAAACACGTGTTGAATACCGACCCATCCGTACCCTCCCCCCTCCTCAACGCACTGACAAGCCCTCTCGTAGACGTGACATGTGCGGGGGCGAGCGAAGGCATTGCTACCTTCTACGTGGACCCTGTCTGCGCGTTCCAGACAAGTAAGCACACTGGCTGGCAAGGAATGCATGCTCGATTCCTGCACTGACTTTTAACAACTTGGCGAATGGTGAAACTGATCCACTGAGCAGTTTCAGCTGCAGCGAACCAACTCTTCTGAGACCACGGCCCAGTAGCTATGTAAAAGGCTTGTGGGCGAAGCAAATAAGCAGTGAGACGACATGTCAGATGGCATGCATGGCCAATGACTCTTACTGATCAAACTCAAGCAGAGCCAGACTCATGGTCAAACACTTTGAAGGCTGACCAGAAAGAACATGACGAGTGCTCCCACCTTTGAAGGACGTGACTAATTAGCCAGGGAAATCTGAATGCAACACGGAAACAAGAACCCTGATAAGGCTTGCGCCCAGCTTTTCATCGGTGCTCGGGAGATGAACGTCCTTCTTGGCCAAAGGTAACATGCTCTGTGGTGAGTGAACCAGGCAAGACTACACTCTTCTCATAAGATACTGTACCGTACAAGGAGGATATAATTTTACTCCATTGGGTCTTACAGCATGCCCAAATAAGACACCAATACTCACAAGCCTAAGGAAGCGTCCCCATGGCTGCAAGTGGTGTTCAGCGGAATGCATCCTGTATGGCGGAGCTGTGGTGTCCGAGCACTGTGGCCTGCGCAGATTCCGAACCCGCCAAAATTCTGCCAGCATCAACTTTGAAAGCGCTGCCTGGGTATCCCACATCACCACACTCTTCTGCATGAATGCTCAGTTTAGCTGCTTGCCTCTCCATGCGGAACGCGTCGCATTGGCCACACGGCTTGCCCAGCTCTCTTGTTCTAGGCGTCGCAAACAATGCAGTGAGAATTGGAAAGCGAGTTAACATGACCCACGGTAAGTTCTGGGACGACTACACGCTGCCACAAGCACTTCCTCGAACAAGCTCTGAGGCTACCCGGCGCTGCTCCTGTCACATGCGCTGCTGCCAGCCATTCTGTACTACCGGAAACTTCTTGTCCGTTTATGCCCTACACAGCGAGTAGCAGCCCACATTCCAGGTGCAAGCAGTACCGTCGCCAATATGCTGCACAACAACCCCCAACTCCTGCGACAGGAGCTGGCTCTCGACCCCCTCCTGGCAAAGAGTACACATCATTTCCCATTCTGTATATGTATGCAGGCTTGCGTCTCGCCTGAAAACAGGTGGGTACCAAGGACAGTTCCACCGGAACCTGCAAAGAGACCTGGCTCTGGGCGAGGTAAAAAAACTAAGGACTGTCTGCTGCAATGGTTTTGTACTCGCAGCAATGCAACTGCATTCAATTCACTTGCAGTGCATCTGTCTGGTCAGCCAACATTGCTTGAGTGCCTGTCTAAACTAAAAAACCATGAGGCTTGCTAGCGAAAGCCTTGTATCCGCTTAGGCTGTGAAATCGGAACACCTGGAGGCAATCGCAGGTCACCCAGCTGCAGTCGGTGACGTTTGCAACCTCAACATTCCAAAGTGGAGAACGTTTCAACATGAGCCGTGCTTTGGTCCATCTGTGCACACAAGGAGACTGCCCCTTCTCAGCTGAGGCATGAACCAGAGGCCTGAGCAAGGGCAAGAGTACAGCTAAATGACGTTTGCAACTCGCAGAGGCCTTCAAGTCCAGTCTCCCTTGAGATGGGTGAGGTATCAAGCATGCAAATGCCATGGTCGCCAGCTTCCTGAGTGCTGCGCTGGCAGGACTCAGCGAAAGCTGCTATCCATCTCTCGAAGCGCAGTGGCTCGGGACACGGAGCTCCTGGCCCGAACAGTTTGGCCCAGGCTAGCGAAACCGGCACGGATCCACACGCTCCAGCAGGCATAAGCAGGCGTAGGAAGGGTAAGCAAACCAAGTGAGAAGGCTTTAGTTGCATGGACTGATACGCATCATGTTACAAGGGGATGACAGCAGGAAAGCTGCCAGGGGATCCCTGTTCTCGGGAAAGTCCCACAGCCTCCAAGGTTCTGCTGTGCCTTGTTCGCTTTCTCTCTGAATGCAAGCCACCACAGCAGGATCCAAAGTCTTGGGTCCGAGCTCGGGCAAGGCCAGTCCATCCAAGGCTCAGGATTCCGCAGCGAGAGCCATGCATTCCGGCCAGTGAGTGTGTTTACTTTGTAACCGTTGCTTTCTCGAAAACTATGTGCAGCCCGTCGGAAATCTGGCGTGCCACTTCTAACCATCTGTATGATCAAAGCTGCGTAAGCGAGATTGAGAAGAAGACATCACGAGCTCTCTACAGCGCCAAGAGAAGTGGCAGCCCTTCAAACAGCATCTTCGTCACGTTAATGTGCTGTTGGTGGTTCAGGCTCTCGCAAGAAATGTCACTGCTCTGGCTTAAACACGGGACCTGAGCATCCTGAATGCAGTCAATACAGAAAGGAAAATCCGAAATCTGCTACGTTGCACATTGTTTCCGGTATGACCAACGAAAATCTGCGGCCTTTTCAAGATGGTGATCCGGAGATTAAATCTGGATAGCTAGTAAATCTTGTTTGAAGCGGCGGCAATGCAGCTGCTGAAAACAAGTTCTAAAGAGACTGAAGAATACTTCGGGTTTAGATGTCGGCAATCCGCTGCAAGCCCACCAGCACATCAGCTTTGGACAATGCACCAATGGTGCGACTGGTCTTTGGTGCTATCTGGAAACTTCTGCCTTCTGCAGACCTGCCGACAAGTTGATAAATACTCTGGACCATTGTGGATCGTAAAAAGTCTATGACCTAGCAACTTATTACGTCACAGAAGATCTCTTCGCATGTAAGCCCAGGTCCACGAGACCCAGCAAAGGCATACGAAAGCCCAAAGAATCACTGATAGTTCAGGATTGATTCAAAATGCGCTGGGAATTTATTGTCTGGGTGTCTGAAGGAGTACAAAGAGCAAGTCTTCTGGGTTCAGCTGGGTCAAAACTGAGCCTCGGCAAGCCCTGCAGCCCTTGCCATGCCTGCTCAAATCGAGGCCACAAACACAGCAATGAGACTGCCCAGTCTTTGCAAAGTCTTGGTGCTACGGCTGGATCAAGTAGCCTGGAGCTGTGCAGGCATGAGATGCAGAAATCTTTGAGCATTGCTGCCCCTCCAGCCTGTTCTGCGCCAGTCTCTAATTGTGGATAGGGTCATTCTAGGTTGGGACAGCATCATTGGATAGATGCATATGATTGTGGAAGGGCAACTGCGTTTGCAGAAGCCGTCAACTCATCAGCTCAGGCGGACATCACATGCCAAACAGCTGCCCGAGCATCGGGTTGGCATACCTGTGACACTGCACAGTGACAGTGACATGCAGTAGGAGCTGAGGAATTGAAAAACTTCAGCAGGCGCACTGCATGGGCCGCACGTTGGGATGAGGCACGTTGGAAAATGACTTGTACTTTGGCCTACGTCGGATGTGTTTTCATCAACTTGGATTGATGCTGCAGGAGATGACAGCTTGCAGGAAGTCGAGTGGCACATGTGAAATCAAAAGCTGCAGCGCATCTGAACACACAGCTGACATTTCAAGTCCAAGATCAATGTGACCTGGAAATCTGTCCCAAATACAAAACAGTAGCAAGATCACAGATTTACAAGTGTCCCAAGCCAGGGACGTCATTGTCTTCCCATCCAATCTGATGAAGGCACCCTGTTCAGGTGCGTGGGTCGCCACAACATTAGAATGCATGACAAGCTTATTCCGGCAGACAAATGAGACGGCTTTTCCACTTTGCGGCACTCTCTCTCCCTCTAGCGACACCCATACTGGAATCATGTTGAATTACAGACAGCTGCTACATCGAGAATGCTTTGTTCGCCTTGTTGCCCATCTGGTCACAGTAGTTAGGGGCAGAGAAGACCGTGACAAGTCGGCCGCCGTGCTCAATCTCGTAACCTGCATGAAGTGGTGAGAGGGAGGCTACATCCAAAGCTGTCTTCGACACTCGCCACGAGGATGATGTGACATTCATTTGGCCTTCCCACACAGGGGACTATCAGAAAGCTTTAGAAAATCAGAACTATTCACCTGAATGATAACTGTGCCAACTTGATTGCAAGGAAACCCTTCCAGCTCATTCACCTTCTGTGCTCACTCTGTACATGTCTCGTGTGTACCTGTACGACTTATCTTCTCGATGCTCAAAGAGCCCTGGAGCTGGGGAGCTGGGAGCCAGGCCCTCTTCCTTCATTTCATGGCTTCCTTAGGCACGTGTCAGCACGCTGGTCAGGTCGACTTGCGAAAGGGGTGTCAAAATGATGAGAACACCTCCCCACCAAGTATCGTATCACCATCTTCAGGTTGTTGACCTTCAGGAAGTTCTCCGTGACATCCTTGCAGACATGAGACAAGATAGGACCGCAGACCACCCGTCCTATCCCAAGCACTGAAACTGGCATGTCAACTCGATGAGGGGTCTAGGGGCATTCGTTGACAGCTGCGCAACTGTACGGGCCTGGGAACCTTGTCAAGCCTGCTCTTTGCTACCTGTGATCTAGTAGTCCTTCCAGCTACCACCTTTCCTTGTCAAAGGTGCTGCCTACTGTTCCTTTCAGCCACCTTTCCTGGCCAAAGGCAACGCCGACTCCTCGCTTGGAAGGCTGTCGGCCTCGAACAGATGCTTACAACAGCAATATCCAACGAAGTAGAACGATATAAAACAGGGGAAACAACATGGAGATGGTTGCTAGAACAGCCATTGCGGGGCCTTAATTCAAGCTGAGTCAAAAGTGCTCGTGTACACGTGTAGGCGTGTGTGTGGGTGCCGACATAGTGCGTGCCCCTGCCCATGCATAACCACTCATGATCACCACATTTCTGCTTCTGTTATCAAGTTGATATTCAATCCAAGACACGATCAAGACATACCACCACATCAAATTTCACAGGTGCCTCTACCGGGCTGCGGGTCGCTCCACAGCCTGGCATCAAGCCGAGGAAACGTGGTTCTGGACCCCATCTGCCATGCAATTACGACAAGGTCGCGCTTGCCAAAACATACGAAAGACAAACATATCTGCAACCTGTACACTGGCTTCACACTATCTCTATGAATGTTGCACCCATGTCAGGGAAGGAAGGCATGTATTGCTCATGTTTATTCCCATGATGCAGCTCACAATCATGGCATGTCCACTTGTGGGAACAACATTAACAATTTTAGCAGGAAAAATCGGCAGAGGTGCATCTCGGTCATCAGGCCCTCATCAGGAGGTTCTTGCTCTCTGTTCACCTGCAATGAGAAACTCAACGCTGAACTCGGCCATTGGCAGAGCAAGCACACTGTAGGATCCGTTTGGCCTTTCTGATGTCATCCAGGGTAACGTCGTCCTACCAAGTCCAAGATGGTCAAGCAAGGAACAGTACCAAGGCAGGGAGTCGCAGGGGGTGCATGTTTACAAAACTTCTAGGCATCATCTGGTTGGGGGCAGTACCCCAGTCCCATGGTACTCAACCTGACTCCACGCCATGCGCCTTGGAGAAAAGTCCTCCATGCACGACGAACACCTGCAATCACTAGCAGGAGCGCAACTCAACTGCAAATGTAACACCAGGTGGACCGCTCAGCAAGAACTTAAGTACAAGCTGATACCGGTAGATGAACCTTTTCAGGCTACATATCGAAGCAACAACCAGAACAGGAACTTCCACGATGCTGACGTGCAACACGAGCCTGGTTATTGATCACGTGGCACAGCGGCAACAAACAGAACGCTTCACAAAAGAGCTGATACAGCTCCTCGTCGTACCTACAAGCAACAAGCCAGAAGCAGCTTCACATGTGCGCTGCGGATGAACAGTGCAAGTTGCATTCCACCTTTGCACATGCACAATTTCAGCGGCGCGCTTCTTCGTCACCTCTCCCTCAAAGCCATACAACTTGTTCATATTCCTGAAGGGTCAAGGCTCGGAAGATGCAAATCATCGTTTTGATCAAAAATTGAGAGATTGCCAGCAAGCTGCCTTGTCTCATGGTTACCCCTCGCCAGATGCAGGTGCTGCGGAAAAGCCTCAGGCACTTGCAAATCTCAAGCCAAGCCGGTGCTTTCAAAACGGAATTTACTGAGCTCAGGCTCTTCCTTGTGAAGAACATGCTCAGGCAACCGACTCAGCCCAATGCAAGTTTCCAGGCAAACAAGGTCAGAATTACCTGCAGGAGAGCATCAACAACAACCAAGCATTGGAGTCTAGCCTAGCAGCACCAACTTCCAACGAAAATCTGCAAACCGTGTTAGAGCAGGTCCTGCCTCAACAGAAAAGGACCCTCGATCTACGAAGTCACCGTTGAACAGGTATGGGTTGTCCTCGCACTCTGGATCAGAAGCAAATGAGCCCTATTCGAAGAAGTCTCGTATTCACTCACGCTTCGCTCCTGCGAAGGCACCCCATTCATCGAAAAAATGTTCAGCAAGTCGTAGAACCTGGGTTCATGTGCGGCCACAGCAAGTGTTGCTCAACACCGTGGCTAGCTGGATCACAGGTTGCGGGACACATGTCAATACGGCACCCGCTGCAGGTTGCCATACACAACATGTTGCGTCGAGACCCAAGCTGGCCATGCACATCTCCACACACCGTCACCTCGTACAAGCAGGAGGAGCGCGTCTATTGGGCTGTCAGAACCTATCTCAATCCCAGACAACCAGAACCTATGCATGGAATTCACGGGCCTGCCTTTAACCTCTAGTGACCAGGAATTTATTCTGTTTGATGCGCTTCGCAGCCGCTAATGAAAAAGACAACAGGCAACCAAAGAAATCCACAACAGTGAAGCTTCCCAATCTGAAGAACGCGGACCACGCGCCCCAAGCCAAAAAAAAGAGGTCAGGCACGTACGACATCTAATTCGGGACTACCTAAACCATCTCTCACAACTCCTGCACGTTTGTGTCAGTTTGCAAAAAACTGGTCAGCACATGGCATGCTGCCAACCCTGCGCACTTTTACGTGCATGTGCTACGAATGCTTCACTTTTTCGCAAGCCTCTCCAGCGTCAGGGACCTCAATGTCGACAAGGGTGCTGGCTCCTTTCAACCTGGCCAGGCAGGCACTTTCATGCAACAGCAGCCACATGCCCTGATCAGGCAAACGTGTGCACAAAAGGCGCCAGTGGATCATCTCGATCATATCCAAAACCTCGACATCTGATGCTTCCAGCTTCTTGCCACTGGTGCCCAGCCATCCAGTGCGAATCTCCGGCATCACCAAAAATTAGCAAATCATGGATTTGCTTCAACAGTTTGCTGCAAAAAGGCCGGGTGTCCACAAATGGAACCCACTTCCTCAAAACCCTTCCCTTGGGGCTGTGCGATCTGGTAGGCGTACTTCTTCGCTATCGTTTTCTCCTGCAAGCGCAGAAGGTGACCGAATATGTTGCTGGAAGGGGGCTCTTGCCAGAGCATACTTTCCCAGTTTGGTGCATTCAAGGAAAGAAGGCATCAATGCTTGAGAGAGCATCATGCATCTTTGACTCTCATGCAACCTCAGGGAAAAGAAGGCATTCGGCTCATGCTGCCAGGCAAGGCCACATTCTTGAGGGTCCTCCTTTTGATGCTGCATGAGCGCTTGGCAGAACTCAGCTGTGCATGCCCCGGATTGGTACACGGGTCCTGTCCAGGCCGTTGGGGGGTCCATTGCATTTTATTGTTCCCTACGCGACTCTCATGCACTTCAGCAGAACTGCGGTCTTGCTTGGTAATCTCGTCCTGAGTAGGTCGCGTCAACGTCCATATGTGCCACATCCACAGTCTGGCCTCAATGCGTAGATAAGGAGGATACCAAAAGGAGGACGTAAGAGGTAACAACAGACAAATACCTATCAAGCTCACCTGAACTGCAAAGTCCCCGACTCGCAGGCTTTGTTTTTTCACAGCCAATGGCCTTCGCAAACTTGTCTGCGTTTACCTCCAATCAGGTGTGACATTTTTTTCTAAAATCAGCACTTCTAAGCAAGCAACACAGACGCTCCTGCACTCAATGTAGATGTGCGCACGTTTTACAGCTGGCTCAACCAGGGTCGTGGCTAACAATAAATTGTCTAGACACCGGCGTGGACAATCTAGAATCAGAAAGGCCATGCCGCCACAACTGTCGGCCAACCTGCTTCTGGCATTGCTTTAACTTGTCTCTGGCATCCTCAAGCCATAGCACATGTACACAGGTTTCATGCCAGCTGAGGCGAAGCTCGAGCTACCCAAACAAACAAATGCTCTCCTTGTCATTGGGCGCCAGCCTAATTTCACATCAGATCATGCAGTCAAACATGCCATAGCATGCTGCAGTTGCAAGGCCACTTTCAAAATTCAGAACGTGCTCAAGTCTTGGCTTGCATAGCTGCATGAAATCGCGCAGCGCGTCCTGCAGAAACAGCGCAGCTGGTTGCTTTGCTGGTAGGTGACTTGACACAACTGTCCCTATCAAGCCCCTCTGGCTTGGCAATGCACAAAACGCAGTTGCCAAAGCCAATGAGACAAAGATGCAGCTCCTTCGGTCGGTTCAGTGCCTTGCTGAAGGCTCGGGAGACCCTACAACCATGTGCCAAGGCGAAAACAACCGAGTCCAAGACCATGTGGGCAGTCCCTCGCCTGACCCCCACGGCCCCCAACATTCACACCACCTCAATTAGAACGGCATAGCAGACACGTCCACGCCTGTACCAGCCCTTTGGCCAGTCTTCTTTTACTCTTATTGCTGCTGATGCGTCCACCAGCGCAGAGCCTTGGTATGCATGAATTGTAGCCATTTCCTCTTTCACAGAGGCCGGCAACAAAAATGCACCGGCACTGCTGGATGCAAAATATTAGCACACGGCCAAAATTTTCCATCTTTATGTGGCAAAATGCTCTGTTGGCCTTGGCAACGGCACAGACATGCTGCCTTAAAAACGTATGCAAACAAGAATGCAGCAAGCTTTCTCACAAACTGCAAATTCAGCTTTGGACATAGTAGACGTGGACATTGGGGTTTGTTGCCTTGGCAGCCACCCCATCCAACGAGTCCAGCCCATCGTCCTGACAGAAAAGGGAAACGGCCCTAGGGATCCTTCCGGCAGCCATACTTCACTGGTGTTTCTCATTACCTTGTTGTTCCTCCACAACATATCACATGTCAAGAAGTGTAAAGCACAATTTCCAAAATTCACCTGACTTCGCGTGAAACAGTATCAATAATGTAAGTCCAATGCGTGGCCTCAGGTTCGCTGAGCTCTATCGCGATAGAGTAGGATGCAAGTGCTTTCGCCTCATCTTTTTTTCCTATTGCAGGAACTGCATATTGCAACGGCGCACCCATCTGATAAGTGGCGAGCATACTTCCCTTCCTGAAAGTACCTGGAAGCGCATCTCAATAAGCATTATCACAAGTTGATGCAACTTTCCGATATCAGAGGTGGTGTCCAGACATACTGGGTCACGTGTTTCCTTCTGCTTTCGCTTTTTCCGCTCTTGCAATTTCCTCCTGGTGGAGCTCAAATGCAAAGTTCGAAGCTCAGTAAAGCGCTCAGCTTGTAAACATGGACATACACTTCTACCTCGGCACTCGGCACTATGCAAACCTCTCAGCCACTCAAAGGGCATCGCTGCAAGCACTTGCTAAGAAGGCCCGACAATCCACATCGTGTCTTGATGTTGCACCTCCGCCATGGCAGTCATCTTTGTTTCAAAGCTGAGCACCTGACAGAAAGAGGTCATCATAGTTGCAACCGTTTGAACTGTTTTTGGTGGAAATTTCGACGCTGGATGCCTTCACATTTGGCCTAAAGACTGCAGCCAAAGCACATGAAATCAGCCAATTTGTTGTCAACTGCTAAGCTTGCGACAATGCGGGGACCATGATGAGGTCATGCCGGAGCATGCAATTTCATTCAGCTGTGGGCCAAAGGCATGTGGTATGCTGCTCAACCAAACATGCAATGCGTATTCCACAAAGCGTGAGGTCTTTGCGGCTTACAGAAAACATTTGCACGGGCTCCCTGCCCAATACCAAGCAACCACGTTGCGTCGAAGCGGCTGCATGCACTTCGCCAGCCCAAGTTGTTGCGTTACACAAATGGCAAAATTGTACATGTTTGTGCAGCTCCAGCCAATGAGCACTGAAAGTTCGAAATCCAGACCACCCGGCTCATAAAAAGTGAGCTTCACGTTAATGCGTATATCAAATTTATTTCCACCCATGTTAACCAACCCGAAATTGTGTTGATGGAACAAGCTGAACAATACATGCAAATTTTGCCAAGTCTCGTTGAATATGAAAGATTTTTTGTCAATGCTGCACTGTAAAAAATCATGGTTCCAAAACACTAGCACAAACAATCGGCGCGCATCATGCGTCATGGGTTTTTTAACCGTTGTGGCCATGCACTTTTCGATGCCTTTGCACTCACCTGATTGCATACGTGAAATGTTTCAAGCATGGAAAACCTGTTTGATTGTTTTGCTGCTCGCAAGCCTGGAGCCTGGAATGCTTTCCCTGGTGCACGAATATGCGCTTCATGAACATGACGGACTTGTTTTCAAGCAAAGTGCTCCGCACAAAAAGTCATCCCCTGACACAGGGCGTCACGCAGGCAAACTCTGATTCTCGAGTTCACGTGACATAAAAAATTGGCAAAGTGCCGCATTGAACAGCATGAAAAGATCGACATGCGCAGCCTATGTACACATGTAAGCTGCCTCACCACAGACAAACAAAATCAATCAACTGATAACAAATTCCATGCCCCACGCGGACACAACACTTGGCTGGCACTGCAAAAGAAGCCTACACATTCACCCAACAAAAGATAGGAGATGCTCATGTCCAAACGCAACAAAAAACAACCAGTACACTAGAATTATCCTATCACCTTCCACCATCCCCTAACTATCTCCACTGGCGAAAAGGGAAGACTCAAAAGATTAGGAAACAAATATTCAACTTTTTATTGTTGAGCCAGACGGTTTGAGCCATTTTGGCAAAATACATTCCCAAAAATCATTGCGTGTGAATAACACAGGAATCGTAAAGTATGCAAGGTGAACATCACTGAGTGACAGCACGTGGAACCCTGCAACACAGAAACCAATGCACGGCCCTTCATTTTCACAGCGATGGGGATTCCACTTCCTCAAGTGCAATGGCCAGCTTTGAACATCCGGGTGATGCTCAAGCAGGTCAAGAACTACACATGGCCAAGGGAGCCAAAGTTGGCGGGTTAGGGATTACTCCTAGCACAGGCGGCGCTGTGCACACACGGGAAAACCATAACTAGAACCTTAACCCCTCTTATCCGTTTCAGTTTTGCACAATTCGAGAATGGATGCAAGATGGGCTTCGACATTGGTGCACGCAACGGATTGAGTCTTCCAGGCGAGGTGCGCAAACTTCCTTCGGGACGGAGCGTCATTTTTTTCATTCAGACGCATTAGTCGAGACGACTATTCAGCGGGCGCTATGCACTCCACTATTGGGAGAGCGGCCACGTGGGCGCGCCAGACAACTACTGCTGCCATCCGTAGCAGCGGTCGACTATTGCGACCCCAAAAAGAAGGCCAAGTACCAATTACACTGGATTTCATGTACATCCGAGAACGAG